CTATACGTCATCCGCATGTCATCGCTCTTATCAACCACTTTATGGTCACTGAGAAGAAGGACGACAAGAGTTGTGACAAACTGTATGTGTTTATGCAGTTCGGTGTCGGCGGCACTCTTTCCGAGTACATGAACCTCGAGGGCGGATACAAAGGCCTACCGGAGCCCAAGTGTCGCCAATTGACGGCACAAATCATGAGTGCTCTGCAGTTCATGAAAGACAACGGCATCGCTCACAGAGATCTCAAGCCCTCTAACATCCTATTGGACGAGAATCAGGACCTTTTGATCGCCGACTTTGGGTTGAGTCGTGTCGTCGGGAATATCGCGAAACCCAATGAAGACGGTCTCGACTCTAAGACCTATTGCGGAACCGCTGCTTATATGGCGCCCGAACTCCACAAACTCAAGACTAAAGACAGGGAACCGGGCTTTCAGTATCAGGCGTTTGCGGTCGATGTGTGGGCGCTGGGAGTTGTGGTGTACCGACTCATGAGCGCCGGTTTTCCCTTCAAAGTGAGTTCTGATCCGAGAAAAACACTCAGACGTATAGAAAGGAAGATAATCTCATTCGCTGACCCGAAGTGGACTAAAGATAGCATCGATTTTATCAAACAATGTCTTGAAATTGATCCCAAGACTCGGCCGCCTCTCGAGAAACTTCGAGACCAGCCGTGGATTAAAGAGGAATACATTAAAGTGTTGAAGAAAATAGAAGTCTATAAATCGCAACCACTTTTGGACAGCAAATAATTATTTTTGTTTTTTCTGTGTTTATATTTGTTTACAATTGGAAAATAGTTTTCATTTAAATAATCAATAAATTTTTGTTTCGTCTTATAATAAAAGTCTAATAATAATTATAAGTTAATAATCGGTTTATTTGTCTGTATGTCTGACTGTGTATATGTTTGAGTACTTGATAATAACTTTCCCGACCTTAGGATTAGTTTAGTTTAAATCACTTTTACGATACTTACAAATTATAATTGATTGCAATGTTGAATGAGTGCCGAGAATTGTTTTGTAATTCATTCAAAACTTTATTTTTATTCCATGAGTTGTTAATTTTAATTACACCAATTAAAAACCTTTATCATTAATGATTTTCATACATGTATAAATTGATATACTTTAAGAATCAAACCAAAATTTATTAATTTTTTTAATTATGTGAATCTCTTTTATAAATAATCTCACTTTTACTTTACACAAGTGGTGGTCTCTTTGCATCACTTAAATTATCTCAAACTTTATTTCAATCAATTAATAAAAAGCAATACATATGAAAGTAAGTGCATTATAACAAACGATTACACAAACTATAATTAGAAATGTTTAGCGCAACTAAACTTTTAGTTTTTATTTGTCTTAATTTGTATTTTAGTAATGGCTTTAAATTGGGGCTAATGTGCGGTCACTCACACACAAAACCGACCGATATTGGGGTAAATATAATCGGGGGCAGTGATGTAGCCCATGGTGAATTTCCCTGGCAAGTGATACTCAATTACGATTATGATGGTCAAAAAACTGGTAAGTGTTGTTAATGCTTAATGATCATGGTCATATGAATGCAATGATACTGTATATCACACAATACAGACAACTGCGGGGCGACAATAATTAACGAGAATTGGGTCCTAACGGCTGCCCATTGTGTCAAAGATATGCCCGAAGCGGACAAATATAACATACGGTTAAACGTTTACAACCGAACCACTCATGACAGCACTGAACTCAACGTTAAGGCAAAAAAGGTGAGCAAATTTTGCTCAATTAATTTTAATTAAACCAATGTATTTAATTAATTTTCTAAAACATACTTATGCTATAAAATGAACAGTTGATTGTCCATGAGCATTACAATCGGACTATTAAAGTGAATGACATCGCTCTAATCAAACTGAGCGAAACACTTGATTTTAATGGCAAACACAAAGCAGTGGAACCCATATGTCTGCCGAACCCGAGCACCAAACTGGTCGACAAGTGTGTGGCCACTGGTATTGGTCTCAATGAACGTAATATAATATATAGATTGAAATTACTCGTAATATAAGTGTTATTTTATTGCAGAGGGACGTCAGCCGCAGATATTGCAGAAAGTGAACGAACCCTTAAGGGATGATAAGGTTTGCGCCGATATCTACGACATCTACAACAGTGATGTGGATCTGTGTGGGGGAAGCGGTCAAAAGGGCGGCGTCTGTACGGGTGATTCCGGTGGACCCCTGCAGTGTTTGGCCACTGATGGTCTCTGGTATCAGTTGGGCATTACGTCATACGGCGGCACATGTGGTGAAGTGCCCGATGTCTTTGTCAGAGTCCTCTCATTCATTCATTGGATCGAAAAGATTGTGATAAACAATTAATTAAACCAGCCCTTCGTTTATATCTAAATATAATGTTCTTTTGATTATAATTAAATAAATTGAACATTTATATTTTACAATTAATAAACAACATAATTGGTACAGATTGAACTACATAAGTTTTATTTGTGTTTAACACTGTACTTAAATGCTCCATCACTATCTAAAAGTATCTATCTACAAGTGTTTGTAATGTTATTCTATTATAATCTACATTATCATATTATTACTTGTTTATCATATTGGTACATGTAAGTATTTATTGCTGTATATTCCAAGCAATTATTGTTTTTAAACAAGAACATTTAGTTACTCAATGTACCTGTTAAATTCCACAAAATGTTACACATAAATAATTATAGAAAATTAACATTAATACAATTATTATTTAAAACTTTGTATATAATTCTACTAAAATAATATAATTTTACCCCCATATTATCAATAAATTGTCATTTTAATTACTATCTAATCTAATACGTGCTTAAAGTTCTACATAATTTTTATATTCAATTACTTGGGGGTAAAAATATCATCCAAGAGCTAATGGATTAAAATTTCATTGATTACGACATTCCTAATCAAACACTTAATGGATATATAAATGACAATAAATACTCACAACAATTGTTGGTAAAAAATGTTTAATAAAATACCATTATTGCTAATAATTAGCGTTAATATCTACGGTGTCTATAACTATGAATTTCCAGTAAACTGCGGTAAATCGCACGCAAAGGGTGTGCAAATCGGGGCCACAATAATAGGTGGTAGCGATGCACTGGTGGGAGAGTTTCCGTGGCAGGTCATAGTGTCGGCCGCCAACGAGACTAATCCCGACGCCAGGGATTTCTGCGGCGGGACTATAATCGACGACCGATGGATACTAACCGCTTCTCATTGCGTTGAGCACATCAAAGATGTGACCAATTATTACATAAGACTAGGCGTTCACAACCGCACCGCTCGTGAGCCCACCGAAGTTGATATTAAAGTTAATAAGGTATGTGATTATGTGGTTGAGAGATAGCATGGTAATTATTTAAATTTTAATTGCATTAGGTGATTTTAAACCCCGGTTGGGTGGGTCCGCCCATATATAACAATGATATAGCGCTAATTAAATTGAACGATGCCATCGATTTTATTGGTAAACACAAACATCTAGAGCCCATCTGTT